CAAGGAAAACTATAAAACACTGCTGGAAGAGACTAAAGAAGACTTAAATAACTGAAAAGATGTTCCATGTTCATGGGTTGGAAGACTTATTATTGTTAAGACATCAATACTACACAAAGCGATGTATAGATTCAACACAATCCGAATCAAAATCCCAACAGCCTTCTTTATGAAAATAGAAAAACCAATCCTCAAATTTATATGGAATGGCATGAGGCCCTGAATACCTCAAAACAAAGGAACAAAGTGGGAGGACTCATGCTTCCTGATTTTAAAACATGCTATACAACTACAGGGAGCCCTGGTGGCATAGTGGTTAAGAGCTCAGGCAGCTAACCTAAAGGTTGGCAGTTCAAATCCACCAGCCACTCCTTGGAAACCCTATGGGACAGTTCTACTCTGTCCTATAGAGTCACTATGAGTCAGAATTGACTCGACGGCAATGGGTTTAAAACAGCTACAGTAATCAAACCAGCCTGGTACTGGCATAACAATAGATACACAGACTAATGGAACAGAACTGAGAGTCCAGAAATAAACCCACACATCTATGGTTAACTGATTTTTGACAAGGGTGCTCAGTCCATTCGATGGGGAAAGAAGAGTCTCTTCAATAAATGGTGCTGGGAAAACTGGATTTCCACATGCAGAAAAATGAAACAGGATCCATGCTTCACACCGTACACAAAAACAAATTAAAATGGATTACATGTGCAAACTAAATGTGCAAACTAAAACCATAAAATTCTTAGAAGAAAAAACAGGGGCAACGCTGTCAGGCCTAGCTTTCAACAATGGATTATCCCATATGATGACAAAAGCACAAACAGCAAAAGACAAAATAAATAAATGGGACCTCATAAAAATTAAAAACTTCTGTTCATCAAAAGACTTTACCAAAAAAGTGAAAAGACAAGCTACTGACTGGGAGAATAGCTTTAGAAATCATATATCTGACAAGAATCTAATAACCAAAACACATATAAAACTTCGACAACGTAACAACAAAAAGACAACCCCATCATAAGATGGGCAAAGGATTTGAATAGACATTTCACCAAAGAGGACATTCAAATGGCCACCAAACACACAGAAGGTGCTCAGTGTCATTAGTCAACAGAGAAATGCAAATCAAAACCACAACAAGATACCATTTCACTCTCACTAGGATGTTAAGTGGAGCCCTGGTGGCGCAGTAGTCAAGAGCTATGACTACTAACCAAAATGTCGGCAGTTTGAATCCATAAGCCGCTCCTTGGAAACCATGTGGAGCAGTGCTACTCTGTTCTATATGGTCTCTATGAGTCTGAATCAACTTGATGGCAACAGGTTTTTTTTGTTAGGATGGCTAAGATTAAAAAAAAAACAAACTGAAAATAACAAATGTTGGTGAGGATGTGGGAAAATTGGAACCCTTACCCATTGCTGGTGAGAATGCAAAATGGTACAGCAGTTGAGGAAAACAGTGTGGTGATTCCTCTAAAAACTCAAAACAGAAGTTCCATATGACCCAGCAATTCCACTCCTAGGGTTATACCCAAAAGACTTGAAAGCATAGACTCAAACAGACACATGTACACCAATGTTCACTGCAGTACTATTTAAAATAACCAAAAGGTGAAAACAACCTGAATGCCCATCAACAGATAAATGGATAAACAAAATGTGGTACATACATACAATGGAATACTCCTCAGCCAGTAGGAGAAATGAAGTTTTGATACATGCTACAATATGGATGGAGCTGGAAGATATTATGCTGAGTGAAATAAGCTAATCACAAAAGGACAAATATTGTATGACCTCACTTATATAAAAAGACAAGAAAAGGCAAATGTATAGAGAATAAAGACTATTAGTGGCTACCAGGGGTGGGAGAGCGGGGATTAACAGTGATGGAAATATTGCATCGATTAAGGGTAAGGTTGCACAGCCAATTATTAAAATTGCTGTCAATAAGTTATACACCTGTAAAAAGTTGAATTGGCAAAAGTTATGTGACAGATATATTTACAACAACAACCAAAAAAAAAAACAGAGTAGCGGCTGAGGCTGCTTATGTACAACCGAAAACCCCATGGGATTTGGTTTCTTGGTTTGGATGTTTAGGGTCATGGTTACATGGGACATCCCAGTTAATTGGCCAAATAACATGTTTAGTGCTTCTGTTCTACTCCTGGTTAGCTGTGTAGTGCCTGAGGTCTTAAAAGTTCGCAAGTAGCCATCCAAGGCACAACAATTGGTCTCTATTCGCCTGGAACAACAGAGGAATAAGGCAGATATGGAATGTGTGGCTAATTGCCTCCATGACCAAGTGCCTTCTTTGCCATGAGACCAGAAGAACTGGATGGTGCCTGGCTAGCATTACTGACCACTTTGATCTATAGAAGAATCCTCATCAATAAGGGGAAAATGCAGAATAGAATTTCAAATTCTCATGGATTCCAGACTTCCTGGTGCCATGAAGTTTGGATGAACCTCTGAAACTATTGCCTTGAGATAATCTTTAAATCTTAAACCAAAAATGTCCCCTGAAGTCTTCCTAAAGACAAATAATAAACCAAAACCCACTGCCATCGAGTCAATTCTGACTCATAGTGACCATAAAAATAACAATTTAGCTTAAGTAGTAAAAAATGTCTGCCTGGAGCATTAAGCTGTTTTAAGAACTATCTATATGGGATCAAACTGACAACAGCAACTTGAAATATTAGATAAGAACGTTAGAAGGCAGTGAATTCATGTTAATGGGGGAAGAACAACTCAGATAAGGAAGGTGACAATGGTTGCACAACTGGAAGAATGTAATCAATGTTACTTAATGGTATATGTAGAAACTGCTGAATTGGTATATGTTTTGTTGTGTATATTCTCAACAGCAACAACAAAATAAATTAAATTTAAAAATAAATAAATAAACAACCTAAAATGAAACTCTCCTCCTCCCTCCCTCCTCTGTTACCTGCTCAGCATTAGAGTAGCAACAGAAGAGGTCAAGGTCACTGAAGACTCAGAAATCAAACTCTGCTGTAGAAATGCTTCCTGGATCTTCCCAAGTGCCAGCAAAGACCTTTCCAGCATGTTGTCTACCTGTATTTAAAGGGAAATACCATGCAATTTGTAGTCTCAGTGTATTGTACTAGTGAAATAGTAGTTTTGAGGGGCTGGGAGGGGAATAGGGTAATGAAAGTAGTGTAATGCAAGGTGATGTTCATTGGAAAGGACCCTGGAACCCCACAGAAAGTACTTGCAATCTGGCTCAAAACTCATTATCCTCCTAATCAACTAAGAGGGCCAGCGAAGGAAATATTTCTCTGCCCCATGATATAACCTTCCCTAGACTCGCCCATCATAGGGTGCATGTGTGTGGTTTTTTAGAACAGTTTTATTGCAAGGAAATTCACATATCATACAATTCACCCATTTAGAGAAAAATTCAAGTTTTTTTAGTATAGTTACAGGGTTGTGAGACCATCACCACAGTTTAATCTTAGAACATTTTCATCACCCCAAAAAGAAATCCATACCCATTAGCAGTCACTTGCCACTCCCCTACCTCCAACGCTTAGTTCTAGGCAACCACTAATCTACTTTTGTTTTTCTACGGATTTGCCTCTTCTGGATATTTCATATAGATGGAATCATACAATATGTGGTCTTTTGTGACCGGCTTCTTTTGCTTAGCATAATGTTTTCAAGGTTCACCTATATTGTAGCATGTATCAGTACTTCGTTCCTTTTTGTTGCTGAATAATACTCCACTGTATGAATAACTACATTTCTTTAACCATTAATCATTTATCCATTCTTCATGAACATTTGGGTTATTTCCACTTTTTGGCTTTTTGGCTATTCGAATAATGCTGCTGCGGAACATGAGTGTATAAACTTCAGTGTGGACAAACGTTTTCAACTATCTTGGGTATATACCAAGGAATGGAATTGCTAGTTTACATGGTAATTCTATTTTTAACATTTTGAGGAACTGCTGAACTATTTTCCAGTGTGGCTGAATCTTTTTATATTCCTACCAACAATGTTTGAGGGTTCTAATTTTTTCTACATGCTCACCGACACCTGCTATTGTCTATCTTTCCAGGGCCAGTCTGAAGGTAGCTAACAAGTGGATGTGAAGTGGTATCTTATTGCGATTTTGATTTTTCATTTCTTTAATGGCTTATGATGTTGAGTATGTTTTCATGGGAATACCAAATATAACTTATTGAGTGCTTACTATGTGTCAAGCACTTTACTAAACGCTTTTCACTGGATAGCAGCACTAGGTAGCCTTGGCCTCCTGGTGAGTTGGAGAGGGAGACCCCAGAGAAGGCTTGGCAGGGTGGTTTCTTCAGCAGTGAGTACTTCATCCGAATTCTCTTTAAAGGTCTAGGGAAAGGCTGTGATGTCTGGATCTCTCAGGATTAAAAAGACTATCTAAACAGAGCTGGCCAGATGTATTTATTGCACCTACCCACTCAACATCATCCTTGGATCTCTGCCAACTTGCTTCACGAGCTTTCATTATGTTGTTGAGGGAGTAAAAGAGGCAGATGGTCACAGGAACTTTCAAGTGCAGATAGCTGTTGTTATGAAATGGGATCTTCTGTAACTGCTCACTCAGATAGACAAGGGAATCAATGACACTGGTCTGGGAATAGTAGAAACCAAACATACATTCCTGAACTGTCCACAGTTATTTTACATTTATTTGTTTTCTTCTTATAAGGGGTTCAATGTACTATATACATTTCAAATATATTTTTATAAAAAGCAATATTACCATTTGGCAGGGCAGGGAAGAAAAAAATATTTCATATTACCTGTAGGGAGGATTTGTATTTCATGCTATTCTAAAGAAATGACATAACCTTTTTTGAGTGACAAGTGGAGCAAATATCTAATTAATAACACTAAGCTAAAAATGGGAATGCAGAAAAAAAAAAGCAAGGCTGACTGAGGTGCTGAGTACACTATCTCTTTGTATCCAGGGCCTCAAAAGCATTCAAGGTAGACTTAAAGTGAAGATCCAGGAGAATTCCAAATGAAACTGAAAACACAAATTCTCCTTTCTTCAGGTTATTCTCATGTAAAAGGAGTCAAATAAAATAGATTAATAAAATTAACAGATACTTACTGAATATCCACTGTAGATACTACCATTTTTGTTTTGAAAGTTTGTTTATTTAAAAAGTAACATTTATTAAAAGCTTCTGCACAATAAGAGACACAATAAATGAAATTAAAAATAAGACACGGGCATAAAATATTTGCAATATATATAACAAAAGGTTAACATCAACAATATATAGAATTCTTGCACAAATAAATAATAACATGACAAACAACCCAATAGGGGAGAAAAAAAAAAGGACATGAAGAAGTAATTCAGAGGAGAAATAAAATGACCAATAAATATATAAAATGATGCACAACCTCCTTGGTAATCAATAAAATACTTTTTACCCATTTTCTTCTCTCTCTCTTTTTTCTTGCCTTTGAAATTGGGAAAGTGAGAGTGTGAGGAAATAACTGGTGAGAATGTAAAATGGTACCTTTTAGAAGGACAATTTTGTCATATCTATCAAAAATGTTAAAGTCCACCAATTCTATTTCTAGCACTCCAGCCCACAGAAATATTTGCATAAATATCCAAAGATGTATGAACAAAGATGTTTGTGGGTATGCTGTTTGCAAGAGTATACAAATGAAAAAAATCCAAATGAACATTAAAAATAACGAGTTAGATTTATGTGTACTGACATGAAAAGATACCCATGATATAGCATTATTAATAAAAAAATCAAATAGCAGAAAAATTTGTATATTTCAATCTCATTTTTGATTTAAAAAAAATATATATATATACACATACACTTGTGTTTGCATGGAGAAAAGAAATTTGGAAGGTTATATACAGCGAACGAGTAACAATTAATGACAGTGATTACTTCTGGAGAATGGCTTAGTAAGAAGGACAAAGATGGTGAGGTCTTTTGCTTTTTACTTTATATACATTTGTTCTGATCTTTTAATAATAGGCATGTATTATTTCTATAATTAGAAAGCCCAAGTAAACCAATGCAGAGTGTGTTTAAATGCTTATTTCACAATATTTAAAAGTATAGAAAGTGGAAAAAAGAGAATTAAAATTATCACTAAATCTACCACCTTAATTTACATGAGTGTAGAGAGTAGAAAAATAAATTAATAATTATGCAGAAGTAACATGGAGTCAAACATACCAGAGATCATGAAGATGGCACAGGACTAAGCAACGTTTCTTCGTTATACATGGGTTGCTGTGAGTTGGACCTGACTCCCAACTAAGAATGTAGGTAAATGTGGTTGCAACAAATGAAAACATCATGCGCGTGCTGATTTGTGAGGACTGTTTGAAGGATGTACTACTCTATCTATGGCAAAGAATGGATCTATTTTATCTCCATGATTTCTCCTAACATATGGATCAGAAAGACAATAATCTGATAAATGAACAAAAGAAAATAAACATGGCATATCTGAGAACGTTACTACTGATCAATCTATTCACAATCTTCAGATTTAAAGGTATAAATATACTTGCTGATATTTAAATTGAGTCTCCACAAAACAGCTTTAAAATGCTAAATTCTGCATGGACCACAAGAGACAGCCTTTCAGTCTCCAGATTATGTATTTTCTTTTTTATTATACTCTTTCTGTTTTCCCTTTCTCTTATCTTGTTCCCTCCCAATCATCCTCTCCTTACCTTAGCTGGCTTAGAGATTCTTGGGAGGAAGGCTGTCAGCTTCTGGAGGACCTCACAAGCTTTCTGCAATTCGTTGTGAGTTTGTAAACCATGAATTGCTCTGCTAAAGGTCCCCACTATTTCATCTATGACCTATTGGAAACAAAAGATTTTGTCAAAATTACTTACGTAAAATTATTACACTTTAGTGGTTTGAGATGTTGTTTTAATCATAATTGACCTCTAATAACTATAGCTTCCTGGATTACAGGCTCTCCATTATTACTTTCAGAAGCTTTTCTGCAAATGGATAGAATTTATTTGCACCTCTTTCACACAGTAGAGAAAATTACTAACAACATTATACAATGATTGGTGCAAGGACAAGTAAGTCTGGAAATAAGATTTATAAGCATATGTTTGAGTCTCATGGCATTATCAGAATAATATATGTACGTGTTGTGTGCATATGTTTACTTATCTATATTTAATGAGATTCAAGAGCAATCTACACCAGGTAGCACAGTAAGGAAAATTTTTTCTACAAACAGAAGTTAGCGGAATCTAAGTTATGAAAAGTGTTGGGAAACAGAAGAAACTAATTTAATTTAAAGAAGAGAAAACCAAAAGAGGAATTAATGAGGTTTTCCAAGGATAAAAATATTTTTTGGGGGGATTTAAGGCAGATATGGTTGGTTGGCTGATGCTACAATTATTTCCCAGCGCCCTTCTTCTTTGAGGAGCCCTGGTGGTGCAGTGGTTAAGAGCTACGGCTGCTAACCAAAAGGTCGGCAGATGGAATCAACCAGCCACTCCTTGGAAACCCTATGGGACAGTTCTACTCTGTCCTATAGGGTCGCTACGAGTCGGAATCAACTCAACGGCAACAGATTTGGTTTTGCTTTGGTTCCTTCTTTGCTGCTTTCTGCTGCTGGAAAAGCTAGTTGCTCTCTGTCCAGCATCCCTTCCAGCTTGAGATGGTTATATGACACAGCAAGACATAAGCTAAGACATAAGCAGAAGTCTAAATGTGTTTTCCAGAAAGTAATTTGCTTTCCTGATAGAAGCTATGACTTTCCTCTTTCTTCTGCCCTAAATGTGGATGCCATGCCTAGAGCTGCAGTGACTGTGTTGTCACCAGAGACAGCTCAAGAGAACTGCAGACACTGCAGACACTTCGAGCTGCTGAACCAACATCAGGGGCCATCTATCTTACACTTTTAGTTTTTAAATATTTTTTATTGCTGAAATTTAGCGCACATACAGAAAAGTGCATAAAACATAAATATTGTTTGATAAATATTGTAAAATAAAACATGTCTTAACCACCACCAGGTCAGGAAACAGGACATTGTCAGTACCCCAGAAGCTCCCTACATTCCCCATCCCAATACACCCCCTCGGTCCCTTTGCTCCCCAGACATAACCACGACCTTAACTTTTACAGTAATCATTTCCATGCTTTTCTTTACAGTTTTACTACTTATGTATCTCTAAGCAATTAGTTTCATTTTAATGTTTTTAACATATATATAAATGGAATTTTAAGTATGTATCTTGCTTCTTTTACTTAAATATTATGTTTTTAAGAATCATCCATGTTGTTGCAGGCAGCTGTAGTATCTTTCCCCCTTTCTTCTCTTTACTTCCCTCCCTCTTTCTCTCCCTTCCTCCTTCCTTCCCTCATCCACTGCTATGCAATGTTTTTTTTGTCATAAATTTGTCTTATATGTGTAGATCCGTTGTACTGTCTATTCTATTTCATTAGGTTGTAAGGGTATCCCTATGCCAATACCACATTGTTTTAATCATTACAACTTTTTAATAAATCTTGGTATCTGCTAGAGCATGTTTTTGTTCTTCAAGAGTGTCTCGGCTATTCTTGGCCCTTTGCATTTTGCCAAATATTTTAAAATCAGTCTGTCAGGTTAAAAAAAAAAAAAAAAAAACCTATTGGGATTTTTGTTGGTATTACATTGAATCTATAGTTTGAGAAGAACTGATATTTTTCCAGTATCGAGTCCTTGATCCACGAACACAGTACATCTCTCCATTTATTTAAATTTTCTTTAACGTCTCTTCATAAAATTTCATAGTTGTCTCCATAAAGATTTTGCTCATTTTTTGTACTTGCCATGATAGCCGTTTTTTTTTTTTAATCTTAAATTTTAATTTTCTGATTGTTGTTGGTATTTTTAGGAGCCGTCTAAAAATACAATTAGCTGTAATATATTGATCTGGTATTTAGCAACATGACTAAATTCTCTTAAGAATTCAAATAATTTATCTGCAGGCTCTTTTTAGTGTTCTACCCTTCAGAATTCTTTTTATTTAAGGAAAGAAACCCTCTTTGTTTAAGCTATTGTAGGTCAGTTATTCCTTTTTTTTTAGTAGAACACAATGCTAACTTGGACAATAGAGAACATCTGGTTTCCATCACCACTGAAAACAGATCCATGGAAAATAGGATTATATTTTAGCAGAGAAACATTAGATTGTATATAAGTAGTGTATGAGATTTTTAAAAAACGGAATCAGGATGATTTTCTTCGTCAATGCTGATTTCAAAGCGGCTTTGACTTTTTTTTGTAAGTTTAATGAAGAAAGGGGACAAAGGTGAAAGGAGAGTTGAGATGGTGAGTAGCAGGAGTTGTCTAGAAGGGTCTGCCGCTGCTGAAAATGTGATGCAAGTAAACAAGCTTCCTCCTCATGTGAAGCATTAAGTATCATAGCATTAGATAAAAATAAGACATTAAATACTGAAGTGGGCATGAACCAACTGTGGAATGTTTCAATGGAGGTTTCATTTTTGTTTTTAATTGGGATATATGCTTGTCTATCAAGCATTCTTAGGTATAATTCTGTTCGGAGGTAAAAGGGTACACTAGGCTGCTTCCTATCACTGCTATTCTTGAAACATTGCCATAACAGAAGAAAAGGGGAAAAGTGCTCATTTTAGTGTCACAAAGCTACGAGGTGTAACTTCAACTCTCTGTATTTACCTGGTCAGATGCATTTTGAAATGATGCTTGCAGATGAGTGGTGGAGACATCTAAATGTGAGTCCTCCTTTGGGCTTGAAGTTATTTCTTCCAGAGCTTTTTTAGCACATGTTACAGATAGAGGCCTGGTGAGCTCTGGTATCACAGAAGGAGGCTGGCTGGTAGGAACAGACGTGACTGATATCATCTGCTGTGTGATTTTTGGTACTACTGAAGAAAATGGGCTGATGCGATAGCACAGGGTCTTGGACTAAAAGATAAAAATATGTAAAGGAAAAGGCTGAATCTGATCATACCAAATAATGAATAATGAAGGCAGTGTTTCCAAAATTGCGCTGGAATGCCCATGTCCTGTGAAATGTTAATAGGCATT